AACATATTTATGGTATAATTTTTAAATAAATAATTATATATATAATACTTTCAATTTCAATGGAGCACACTACCTGCAAGTAAGAGGCTCTGCCATGGGCACCATTGCAGCTCCATCTTATGCTACAATATTCATGGGAAAATTTGAGGAGACCCATATCTATCCAATCATTGGTAGCGACTGCGTATTCCGTGCAAGATATATCGATGTTATATTCTTTGTATACACGGGCAGTGACGACAAACTTATCCAATTCTTCATGACCCAAAACACAGTTCACGACTCAATTAAGTTTGACTATGAAAAGTCCACAAGATCGGTAACAATTTTAGACACCCGCATTTACGTAGATGAAAACAGGAAACTACAAACGACACTACGGACTAAAATCACCGACACCCACAACTATCTACACTTTAAGTCTTCCTACCCTAAACACCTCAAAGAGAACCTTCCTTATTCACAAGCACTTAGACTCAGAAGTATATGTTCCAACAATGAAGAATTAAATAAACACATTCAAAATCTGGAACATCAATTCACAACACGTGGCTATAAGCAACACACAATCAGGGAACAAATAAATATAACAATTTCCTAGAATCTAGAGAAGACACCCTAATGTACAAGATTAAAAATAAACCCAGCCGCATCCCTCTAGTAACCACTTTCAACCCCACTCTGCCTCCACTATCCCAAATAATTAAAAGTCGCTGGGAAGTACTACATCTCAAACCAGACCTAAAAAAAATGTTTAAGGAACCCGGCCTTCTTGCATATCGTAGACCTAAGAACCTAAAAGAAATCATAGGTAGTAACCACATTTTAGGGGATAAGGTAATCCGTAATAAACTAAGAACAAAAACAACAGGATTTTCCCAACCATGTAACAACAAAAGAAGTTTATGTTGCAACCATATTAAACACACGCATTCATTGACTAGCTCAATCACTAAATCTACTTTCAAAATCTACCACGATTTTAACTGTAGAAGTCATAACATAATTTACCTCCTAGAATGCACATTATGCCAGAAACAATATGTAGGAAAATCTGAATGGCCCTTTCACTACAGAATTAATAATTATCGCAATCGAAATAAGTCGACTCTCCATGAAAAATTATTACCTGTAGAACAACATTTCCGCCTGGAAAAACACAATTTCAAAACCCATGCCAAATTCACTATAATTGAGAGAATAGAAAAGTTCAGAGCAGATAACATTAGAAAGATTCTAGACTCCCATGAAAATAAGTGGATACAACGTCTAAAAACACAATATCCAGTCGGGTTTAACTATAAATTTAACAATATAGATAGTATTAATATATAACCCCACAAATCAAAACCTACCCACATTTCTCACCCACACAAGACAGACATACTTACGGAGGTGTTGAGGCCTCACACTTATACATACAGCCACACGAATATACACACTTACACATATCATACTCTCTCACTCCCTAATAAGCCAAATGATAACACACACCCACAGCAATATACACGCTTACAGACATCATACTCACTCACACCCTAAGAACCAAATAACACACACCCTTAACAAAGACACATCCCCTTTCCAGGACCCAATAAAACTATCAAAATGACCAAGGGAATTCAGAGCAGCATGAATCAATCCAGCTCTTATCTCATATAACAACTTAAAAGAGATTGTTTGACCAACACAAAGACAGACCAAAATTAATGTTAAAAAAAAAATTCTCCATCAAGACATTTCTGTAGTGTGTCTGAAGATTTTAATTTTTTAATATTTTTTATTGTTCAATATATATATATATATATATATATATATATATATTTCATTGAATACGAAAGACGAGGTGCTTTTATTTAGTTTTATATATATATATATTATATTTCCAGTGAGCAGTGATCGACCACGACTAAAAGTTTCATGTATTCTCACACAATAATCAGGTGGTAGACAACATTTTTCTGTGAAAATGGGCTGTTACCCAATGACGGTTTCACATAAGGGTTGCGCGTTCGAATCGACTTACGGGAGTGTTTAATCATATTTATTTCGTTTGTTCTTGAGGTAAGATGATGGCCTTATCTAGCACGGATTCTCTTATAGAAGAGTAAAATTCTTTTATATCTCGTTGTATAAATTGCCAATTATGTTTGTTTTTTTTTTTATGTTGCGGAACCAGTCTGTAGTTGTTTTGTTGTTTTTCCACCTAAATTCTTTCTTTGAAATCCTTCTGAATTAATTCTGTTATCGTTTTACTTATTTTATCTATCGATCGAGGTAAAATAAGTAAAACGATAAAAAATCGAGGAAAAATCATCGATGATTGAGTTTATAAACAATAATTTGGACTTTACTAACTAGACGCTTCTCTGGAGCTAAATTGTATAACACACCAGATCAAATGAAGGTTTCTGTATAAGGCTAATTTTAAAGTGAATAACAAAACGGTTATTTTTTAAATTTTGTTTTTAAAACTGAATATGCAAATTAGCGGGTCTTG